CCCATAATTGCCCTTCAGCCCTTTGCTTCCTTTTCCTTAAGTGGTGCTTTGTACACATTAGATATGAAAATGAAGGACTGCAGATATTCTGCTTCAATTTTATTTAGTACTAAGTATATATTTAAGGCAAGTCCTTGGGATGTTAAACCATCTTCATACAGAAATTTTTTAATAACTGAGGACAGATTTTAACAAGCCATTAAACGACTGAACTAAAAATTGAATGATTAAAAGGAAAAGAACATAGATGCATTTCTAATTTCAATCAAATCATGGTGCTTCTCGTGGTTGTTTTTAAACCTGAAAAGGCAAGCTTTTGCTTCCCAATTGTCTTGTTTGTACCACCAAAATCTGACCCCTAACTTACATTTATGTACTGTTTATGCCTGGGCTTCGTCAGCAGTTATGTCAGTATCCACAGTCATTGTCTTTTCTTCCACACTGAGCTTGTGCAGTTCCTGATTGGACATGAAGTATTTCTGTAGACATACCAGAAATATATACACCGTTATAGTGTAACAGAACTTCATAGTAAGTAAGTCATGGCCTCTATAAAAACCATACCTAACCATGCCATCCAAAACATTTTTTATGTGTGTAATTTGGCATTACTTTTAACACACGAGGTAATTTCATATTAAAAGCAGTGTGTTTTAGAATCACAAAAATAGCATAATTAAATGATATAAACTATGTTTGTTTGTTTGTTTTTCTGGTATCAATATTTTCTATCTAAGCCCTTTTTCCTGGAGAAATGAGAGGATTACAAATATATTTTTAGTGTGAGTTTTCTTTATTTTTCTTTTACTTCTACATCCTCCTGTTGCTAGTGTCACCATAAATAGATGCAGCAGTCAATATTACTGACTATGTATTACACCTGGAATTAAGCAATTAACCAAGGTGTTTTTTCTTAATTAGAGAGCAAAAATGATGTGTTTTAAACTGTGATATTAGTCATCTCTGCGACCTTAGAGAAGCAAGACGGCAGTCTAATTCTTCATTCCTGTGAAGTCTCCTTACAAAATTAATTTCATGGAGTCCCAAGATCAAAGCTTCTCTGAAATTATCTAAGATTACAGAGATGTCAAGTTCATTCACAACTCCCCTGAGTGGTTTCCACCAAAAACTAAAAATAAAAAAGTTGACCTATATTCTCCCATTTTTTTGAGAGTGGAAGTATAGCCAGATGGCCTATTCCTGGAGTTAAAAAAAATATATATTTCTATAGCTTCTAGCAGTATTAAAACTATCTTGCCAACAGCTCTGCAGGCAGTTTAACAACTCTTGTAATGCTGCATTACTGCATGCTTGGGGCTGGAGGCTGGTGTTGACTTTGGATCGATGATCTTGGTTTGCATAGGGAAACACAAGCTTTCTTGCTCAGCATCCAGCAGCAAGTTGCTGAACCCAGAGAGAGGGTACCATGGCTTCAGTCTGGGCATTGAATACAACCCAAAGTAGTTAGGGGAGGTGACTGGCCTGGAAATACCCAGGGATGCAAACTTGGGCCCTGAACAAACTGTTGAACACCATGAATCTCTACAGCAACCCCACTTTATATTCTTCCTTGGAAGCTACCCCTTCATACAATAGTCTTTCTTCTCCTGCTCCAGTTCCTCTTCTCGTTCCTTCAGCCTATTGCCAATCACTTTCTTCTTTCTTGGAAGCAGGAGCTTCTGTTCTCTGATTTGACTATAAAACTGTTTATCTGCCTACAGCTGTTTTTGTTTTGTTTTGTTTTTAAGGAGAATCCCCATATTTATTTTAACTGAGTGTAAATTCCCAGGCTTTGATTATGTACAGCACTCTCAATTTTCACATGAACAGTAAAAATTAAAATAGTAGGTCTTTTTGGAATTGCAAGAACAGAAAGAAAAGGTTAGGATGCCAAACTTGTTCAGAGTTCTTAAAAAGCAGCAAAACAAAATTTCTTATTTGACTCCTTGACTGGAGGACAGCAGCAACAACACAGCATCTTGCATTGACATATCATTTCTTGCATTGACATATCTGAGAGACTGGCTTCTTACGGAAAGGCTTAGAGGAAGAGGCTTTCCCCTGTTGTGCTGGAGAACATCAGAGTAGATGGATATTCAATATAGAAGTTTGTCTTGATCATACTGCTCATTAAACATAGTTGTTCATGAAAAATCTGTGTCCGGAAGCCTGAGATAAGTATTTCCAATTAAATCTTAATGCAATTGTGTAAGTCTGGAAGGAAGCAAAACCCCTTTCATTGATTAAAGACATTGTAGCATATGTTTTTGCCATCTCCTTGACAGTGCCTTTTCACACTTGTCAGCAGGAGAGGATCTGTCACAGGAGTCTAATAGTTTGGGTAAATTACTAGAATATCTTTAAAACTTTGGCTGTAAACTAAGGGATATGGAAACTGCAACTTTTTCTGTAATAGATCCATTGTAGCTATAAAAAGATGGAAGTGACTTTTGAATTTAGGTTGAAAAAAATGTAGGCATTGACCCCCCCAAACACAATATAAGGTCTAGAGTCTGCTTAGCACATTATCCCAATTTCAGCAGTGAACAATAGAAAGTGCATACCAAAATTTATAAGAAATAGGGCAAGCCAGGCATGGACTTCCCCTGGCAGTTCTTCCAACCCTCCATCATAGATTTTGTATCCATTCCTTCATTTAGGATATAGCTGGCCAAAAAAGACCCCAAAGTTTTACTGCCCTTGAGGGGTCACATCCAAACAGTAACATAGTCCAGCCTTGGGAAACCCCTCTTTGCAACTCAGGGCTGTTCAGCATCCCCTTAGTGTCTGCCCAGCTCAGTATATACAAGCTGAAAATAAATAATGAGCTGAAAAAATGAATTCTGGGACCAAGATTTATTTATTTATTTATTTATTTATTTATTTATTTATTTATTTTGGGGGGGCTGTTTTTTTCTCTCTAGGATTTATGGATTAAATCAAACAGTGAGCTCTGAGGCTGCAAGATCATTGTGCTTATTTGAAAAAGTAATGCACAGTTCTCCTCTTCCTGCTTGATTTATTGCCTATGAATATGAACCCGTGTGTGGGTCTTGTCTTCTGATACATGTGTTTTAGGGGTTAGTATAATATTAATTGACTATTAGAAAATGTGCATTTGTTTCACAGCCAAGCTGCAATACAAAATATATTTCCAACTGATTTATTCATGATATTTTTTCCTGTTTATTAATGTACAAAGTTCAATACTATTACTCTTGTTGAAGTCAGTGGGATCACCCAGGCAAAGGAGCTGTTTAGTATACGTGAGGTTATCAAACAGTTGCCTTTGTGAACAGCTTAAATTTAATAGAGCTTCTTGCAGCAGCCAGAGATCAAAGCAAGATGTGAATGATGAGAGGAGAGAAGGATGCTGCTGAGCGAGACAGCAGCAGGACAGGAAGCAGGGCATGAAGGATTTTACCAGCAAAAAAGGGTGTACAGAGTTATGGTGTAGGTGTGAGGGAAGAAAGGACCAAAGAGGAGCTGACTGGAGGTGAAAGGAAACATGCCGGGATGTCGGCAGTAGAAAGAAGTAGAAATAATGGAGAATGGAGGGGGTGCCTGGTGTGAACCTTGCCTACCACTTCCCACCTTTAATCGAGGCAGATTATAATCTTGCCTATTATGCAAAAAGGGCATTGTGCCTTGACTTGCCAGCTGCAAGGAAGTAGACAGATGTCATATTTTTTTAGGTTAGCAGTTGCTTCCTAGAAGGTTTTTGGTTCTTAATCAGTGAGGAAAATAAACTTTAAGAATAAGTTGCTTATAAAAATATATTTTAGTATATTAGTTAAGTATAAACTAGCAAATTCCTGGAAAATTAATATGCAGAGTAGGTAAAAAGATAGAATATGTATGCTTTCAGAAACAGTTATGGGAAGTGTTCCTGAGATGAGGTTTGACGACACTCACCAAGCAGGACAGTTGTAAGCAGAGACAGTAGGGAGGTCCAAATTGCCCTACCCTGTTGTTATGAAACGATAAATATAAGATAAATTCAAATACTAAGGTAGCAACCCAAAAAGTCCATGAGGAAAATGATAACTGTGTTCAGCCCAGTGCTTAAGTAGTGTGTAGGAAACAGCAGAAGGAACAAACTGACAGAGTATTTCCTTGGAAAATAGAGTCAGAGATTGCAATAGCAAATCAACTCTCAAATAAACATGGAGAGGCAGCTGTCTACATCTGTACTTCCTTGGGGTGTCTTAGTTTTTGGGACATTGTTCCTTAATTTCATGTCATGTTTTGGGCAAGACATGCACCTCTGCTTGAAGGGCTTCACAGAGATGTACAAGTGCTTTGTACATGTTTTAGGACAACTGACCTTCAACGGAAACATCACAGCTTTTCAGAAAAAATCGGAGAGTGTCAGCCTGGAGCTGTTCAGAGCTTAGGATCAAACTGTCACCCTTTGCAGGGACCAGTGCTGGTGATGACAGTGTGGTCCAGCTCATCAGCAATGCCAAGTGCACACTTTAATCATGCAGAAATTAGGCACATGATGAGGGCAATGAGAACCCTCTAACGGAATAATTGCTTTAGCATGGGTAACTGATGCTGCTGATGCTTGATGGTGCTTGGACTGCCACTGAGTCGATGCACTGGTGAATCAGCAAAGTAGTGAAAGACAAAAGGGCTACCAGTTTGTGGAAACTGAAGCCATTGGAGCAGCTGAATGCATTAATGCCAAAGAGATCCTTGTTTCAAAAATGTTGACAAAAGCAGGAGGAAGAAAACCACCAAATCACCTGCTGCTGAGTTCCTCCAAAGCTGGCAGATTACGAGTTTTCAAATGTATTGCACCAATGTCTGATGATCAAACGTCTCCAAGATGCTGACATGAATAACACTTAGCTTGAAATGTCAGCCTGCTCCTCTCTTGGTTTCTGGGTGACATAAATACATGTCAGAGCAAGCATCAGGTAACACAGGTTAGCCAACTGCTGCAACTCAGATCCTGAGACCGTTGTTTTTAGAGGATATCAGTCTTATTTCTGGCTGCAGAATTTTTGTATTCTTTCCTGCATAAAGTCTGTTCTTTGTTTCATATTGCAATATCTTTATTGCTTTATGGTAAAGAACTACATCATCCATTAGCAACATTAAAAAAATACAAACAAAGTATGTGTACATTCACATATTTATATTTAACAAGGAAAGCATTATATAATTGGCAGGGTAATGAAGACAGTTTTTCTCCAACAAGAGAATGAAGCTTAATGCCTACAAGAAGTTTATTTTGTGCAGAGTTTACATGCTGTTAAATGTAATGTGAAAGTGGAAGAACAGTCGAATTTCACAGTAGGGGTCCTAGCCAGGAGTTTGATTATATGTTCACACTATAAATCACTGTGTAAGTTCCTACAGCTGGAGTATGCAAATGTAAAAATTTACTAGACTTTAAAATGTCTTCCTGAATGAAAATACAAGAAAAACAACAGACAACAAAATTTATGCTGCAAATGTGTCCTGTAAAATTGTTATTAAAACCCATTTCTTGGAGAAGCAGAAGAAAAATGAATAGATTCAGGCAATCCAGGGAGAATTCAATGGTGAAACTGAACTCCAGGGATTCATTTGGGCCCTAAGTTAGCACAGCAGTAGGAAAAGGAAATCTTTGAGTTGCAAATGATGTTTGATGAGCCTGAAGCATCATCTTGATGCATGCTTGACTGACACAGCTACCACTGGGGTTGGTCGGGAGCAATGAGGGATCACATCCTTCTACAACATCGCTAGGGCAAGTTGCAGGGTGGTCACTAGTCAGGCAAATAATGAGAGCCAGGAAGCTAAGGCAATTTGTTCTCCTCCTCTGAGGTGTTAACATCATCCCTCAGTGCATCCAGAAAGGAAACTGACTGGCACGGATGCCAACTTATTAAACTTCAAATTGTTCTTAAAATCTCAATTTCCCCCTCAGCCCCTCTTACATTTTGCTTCTACCCCATTTCGTTTTTTCCTCTATCCTAGTCTCTCCCCTCCCCCCTTCTTATTTTCTGTTGTAAAGAACATCATCTAATCTTTTCTTACTTCTGAGAAGCACCCAAGTTTCCTCCCTTCTAAGAGTTTTCTTCTGCTCCAGCTTAATGTACTTACCTATGACAATTTGTAATACTGTTTTACACTATGTGGTTTCAGTTCAGTGAAATGCTTAAGTGCTTAAATGCTTTTCCATACAGCAAAGCCCTAATATGCTAATGGCCAAGCACTCATGTGAGTGTTTCCTTCAGTGAACACTCCATAAGCCAGACTAACCAAGCCAGAAAAGTAATTTTTGCATACTTTGGCTATAAAGTGCTTTTCACCACACTATTAAAATCCAGCTAAACATCAATAGTAAAGAATCACAAACTACATTTTCTACAATATTTCATGACTCGACAGAAGCTACAACTAGACAAAAATATTTGGTGTCACGAAAGATATTTGTGTATAACAGAAAAATTATACAGTAGTTTTAGAAATAATATCTGTTATTTCAGCCAAAATTGCATTGTCTGTGTAAGCAGAAGGTATTTTTTCCTCCCAATTTCTCCTCCTTTCAATAAATCTCTGTGCCAAGTACAGTGAAAAAAGTGGCCCTGATTTCAGCTGGTTTACTCACCCAAGTGAAAATTAATTTGTTGCATAGCACCTACAGAGTTAGGACTGCAGGATGAATTGGGTCTTCACGCTGTGAGAACTACACAGGAAACAGAAAACTTCACTGCTTTTCTTTCACCCTGAAAATTTCACTATATGCAATTTGGAAAGTTATGCATATATATGCATTGTACATATAAAATCCACAAATATAACTTGGAATATATAAGCCAGTTTTGTACCTGGGTGGTACGAAATACCTGGAATACTGGAGCTGAATTACCAAGACATGTGGACCCTTGTCCCTGTGTGGGCTCCAGAGTGGTACAGGATTCAGCTGTCCCTCAGCGCTGTCTTCTAAGAGATCTTCAACAGGACATGGTGAATTCCTGGTCCTCTCACACTGCTACCAACAGAGTTTTAAAAGCCACCCATCAGTCAGCTCCATGGCAGCTTCTTATTCTTATAGAATTCTCTGTTTAGCCCTGCTTAGCGATGAGATGGAGACGATGATGATCACTTTCCTGAGAAGCAATACATTCTTCTTAGTAAAGTCATCAGAACCATCAAGCAGATCTGCAGTGCAGTATATAAAGTAATTTCAGGCATGCATATTATTTACTCAATTGCCTGTAACAAGCCTGGTTTGGTTTTGATTATTCTGTCAGTCAGTGTTTTAGAAATACTGATTACATTTCTTCTGAAAAAATATATCCCATCTCTGTCATGCTGACACTTTTTTTTGAATACAATTTTTCAGGTTATTGTAAAATCCCCTGAACTCTCCACACATGTTGAAGGTAATTAGCTAATGAGCTATTTCACACAACAAACTCACATTTCTCTTTGTTTACATACACCATTTTGTTGGGAGCAAACACTTCCTAGGGAGCATAGAAGTGTTCTCAAAAACCATACATCAGTAAAATATTACTATACAAGCAATGACCAAAAAGGATTTGGTCAACCTATCATTTTATTGAATTCTTGAAACTAAACCTTCCATACAGCACAGTGGTCTGAATTCCAAGAGAATGAAATTATCCACAACAAGATAATCCTTTAGCAGCAGAGAGTATAGGTTTTTTTTTTTCCTGAAACTGAGCTGAGAAATATTATTTCTGAACTGAAACCTTGTTAGGTTTAGTTTCAGCATAGAACAAATGGCTTACATCTCTGTGATATGGTAGCATTTTCTCTTTGAGAGAGAGAGAATAGTATGCAGCTTACAATAAGAAAAAAGTGTCAAAATATATCTAAAATTAAATAAAATCTCATTTTCCATTGTAATTTATGGACTAGCCTGACTCCTGAGGACCCCACCAACTTGTTTGTCTGTCACTTGTTCTTTAGGAAACTGCTTCCCGCAGAAAGTTTTATAATAATAAAATTTAACTCTGAAAAATTCAGATTGTGTTAAAGTTCTCATTAAATCCCCATAAAATCTTCTTTAGAAGATTGCCAGTACCATCGTTTCACCTTGGAATGGCCAAAATCAGAAGTTGTTCCTGATGCGTGCTATGTAATTTATTTTCTTTGATTATAAAACTCTGGGTATTCTCATTTTGATACCTTGAGAGGACCTCAATTAAAAGTCTATCTTCTTTCCTAAATATAAAAATAAAACATTTAAGAGCACAGAAGAAATGCAGTCCTGAGCCCTCTTGCTCAGGGGTAAGGTATACTTTTTATATTTTTTAAATATTTTTAGCATGAACTAACGGAAGTCACTTAAAGATGTTGATCAGAGAAATACTGCTATTTCTGAAATACATCTTCTTTGGCAACTTCCTTCACAAAATAAAAATATCTTAAGATATTTTTATATCCTAAAATATAACAACAGCGTTCCACCAGATGTCATGGAAGAAGGCACAGCCTTACAGTGTTCCCCTTTATCCTGCTCTTGCTGCTCATCAGCCAGTGATGACCCCTCATTTCTCTGCACCTCTCTGAAGAGGGATATCAATCTAAAAGCTCTCCTGAGTGATCCTGCTATCTGCTTTAAAATAGATGCAGAAGTGTTGGCCATTTTGGGTAGTTCTTGGATTTGTTAAGATACAAGTATTAAAGTAGGCTGATTTTTTTTTTTCAAGGGTGCAAGTGTCTGCTCTCATTTTTTCCTTTTTCTGAGCAGAGTAGCTGAATTTACTTGTAGTCCAGTCACTTGCAGTAAAAGTCAAGTTCTTTGCCTAGTTCTTTATCTTGTTTTAAAGCCAATTGTTTTCTTCTGCCAGCTTGTAATTGCACTGAAAGGTGAATGTCTGTGAGTGTAAAAGAAGCTTTTCTATCATTATGTTTAATGGCTATTCTGCTCTGCTGGTGATTATTCAACTACCTCTGATGTTTGCTGATCTTGGCGGCAGTTACCAGAAGACTTGCAGCATTTCCTACATGTCTTTCACAGAATCATATGTTTTCTGTTCCAGCAAAATATCAACATCTTAATGCAATTTACTCCTTTGATTAATGGAAGAGGTAAATCCACCCATTTTTCTCACTGACATTTGTTTTATTCAATAAGCTACATTTGTACATATTTAAGAATATTTGAATTGATAACACCCATTTACTTTTTAATCCCTGCGTGGAAAATAAAACATTTTTATCTGATTAGTCTCACTTTTTCCTACTACCTCCTACAGGAAAAAGTGGTATTAGGGGAAAATAATTTTGCAATAATCAAATACGTTTGGCAAAGTGATATTTCGTCTCTGTGCAGTTGCTGTGACCCATCGTGAGGCAACTGGATTTTGCCTGCCACAAGTAAGATGTCTGCCATTGCAGAATATAAAGGATGACACTGTCTTTGTGAGTCCCGAGGCAGTGCCTAAAACACCACCATCCACTTCAGAGACCAAAATTCACATTCCCTAACTAGTCCATTTTCAAAGTCCATTTACTCAAGTAGTCTTTTCCTGCAAAGACAGTGTAATTAAATGAGTCCTTAGTAAATGTGACACTGGCCAAGACTAGGCCTGGTATTTATGGAGGCACTGCCACAGAATTTGGAGGAGAAATACTTATGTATAAAATGCACATTTGATCCTATCAGTACTGATGAAAAGTATGAGACTGCTTTTTACCTGACTTCTTGACATCCTAAATAATTGAATTAAAATCTTCAGCTGTGAGCGGGACTTACCCCCTACCTTTGGTTTTAGCAGAAACTTTTACACTTAAAGGAGTTTAATTTCTTTGAGCCTTAAAGATAAAGCCTTTTGCCTGAATTTTTTTTAGCAGGAAGTACTTAACTGTCTCTTACTGAATAAGTAATGACTCAATACATCTTAATCAGAGTATATGTCCTTCAGAGACTGAAGGTCTTGTGAAATTTCACCTACAGCCCATTTGTAATGTCTGTTTGATAAAGTTCAGCATTCGTTTGGTACAATCAAAAATGCAGACTCACTTTGTCAACTACTCCCTTATGCTTTCTCTGAAGGACAGAAACTTACCAGACCAGATCTCTTTCTTGTCTGGTTGAAATAGGTATCAAATGTATAATTTCTCAAAGCTGTTACACTCCTTATTTACTACATCTTTTCTTGTAAAAAGTCTATTAATAATCTATTTCTGTACCCTGGCACTGCTCATCAAGGGTAATGGTTTTTGTACTGTTTTGTTATATAATTTACATGGAGCTCAGTATCTTTGACCCCAGTTTTCCGTGACATTAGAAATACTTGTTCAAGTGCAATCTCTGCTGCAAAGTTTTTAAAAGACAATTGTTGAAAGACAACTCAATTTTCAACATTTAATTTGTTCCACCTAATGAACTTCAGTTTTATTCTCTAAGAAGTCAATCTGTTGATTAGTTCAACTGCCCGTTCTCATTCAATAAAAAATAATTAATCATCCAAAAACATCTCTTCACAACATTATATCAGAAACTCTCCATCATTATGGGGTGTGTTGCTGGGAATCTAGAGTTTTGCAGAAGACATCAACATACCATGGATGTGGTCACCAATACCTTCTGAATCCAAAGTGCTGCAGCAGAAACTGAGAGCTCAGCAGCCCAAAACCTTCTCTGAAACAAACAAACAAACAAACAAAAAACAGCCATTTCTGTAGAGCAAACTAAAAGACAAGCACTTCAGCAGGGAAGACACAGATTTGCTTCTGGATGAACTTCATAATTCTGTAAAATGTTCCTCAGGACTGATTCTGTGGGTATGAGCAAGAGGCTCAAAAAGACAAATTGTGCCATGCAAATGAATGATCTGTCACTCACCCTCCCTCAGTTTTAGTGCAGCTTGTGGGCCTCACATGGGGTTTGCTGGCATGAGATTTAAGGTTCTGGTAACATTGAGCAGATTTTTTTAATAGGCTGGAAAATTTCATGCAATCATTAACCACCTCTTGCTGCTTGGCATGCTGAAATAATAAGGGTAATTGAAAACACACTTTTGGGTGTAAGCTAATTGCCTGCAGGGCTCTCGAAGGATATTTCTTCTCTGTACACCACCTAGAATAATTGGATAGGTAATACACATTATGGGAGCCTTCTACCTTCCTCAAGAGTATCAGTGCAGAAGGCAAAATGTCAGGTTAGATGAACAAATGTTTTAATCTGGTATGGCAAGTCCTCTGCTCCTGTAGTGCCGTGGTGAGCAAGCAGTTGGACTGCAGGATACGCACCTGCCATTGTGTAATGACGTCCTGGGCAACCTGGGTCTTTATTTTTAACCTGAAATGCCATCAAAAGCCCCCAAAATCTTAGAATGCTCATCTCTATGGCAACCTCCATGCAAAGTATTGTTCAGTTATGAGTTAATATGTATTTATGCTTAAATGAGAACCAGGAATGACTATTCCTGGTTTTACAAGCACACCATCCCCTGAATCCCTTTAATCTTCTCTGCATGCTTCTGAATGTCAGGTAATGGAGAGGCACAGTGTGAGCTCAATTAGTTTAAAATCTTATCAGTGTAATTGGGCAGGATGAGCTGTATTAGCTTGCCAAATAGGACTCAACACTTTGAAGTTATTTACTCAATTTTATATTATTCCAAATGCAATTAATTGCATAACCATTAGTAACTAACATTAATTAATTAATGGGGTTTCAACATAATTGCATTGATAGACATCACCAAATGAGTCCACCGAGATGGCTGGAAGGAAGGGGATTGCTACCATGAATACCAAATCCCTCCAGCAGATTGACAGCAAAATCACCCAAATATCATGTTCACGGATGATTAAAAAAATGGCCAACGCTAAAGATGACTTTAGAGCATGCACTGCCCCACATATGGCCTCAGCATGACAATGCTGTGTGTTATTAAATCAGAATAACCTTGCTGAAAACAGGACTCTTGAGAGTTCCTGTCTGCAAGAATGACCTAACTACTTTCCTCTGCATTAAACAAACAGCATTTCATTGACTGCAACAAATTTCTGCCACTTTGAACTATTTTTTTTTCACTAGGTAAACATTCTTCACTACAATTTCAGTTAATTGGGGCTGAAATCCTTCAGTGTGATATGCCATTTGCTTTGGGCATTACTTGCCAAGGACCCTGCCCATGCCTGTCAGCACACCACCACTCAGTTGCCTCTCATTTACCCCTAGAGCAGCCTCCAGGAGAGAAAACTGAGCACATCGGAGATGTGTTGTGGGCTGCCATGCTTGCTGCCCTGCTTTTTTGCAGAGAACAACGGGGAAGCTGCACAGTCACATCACTGACTGTGCAGCATTGAACAGAAGTCCCAAAATACTGCTGCTGCTAAGCTACTAGCAGTGTCATTGTTTGTAGCAGTTGGAGCCCCTGAACATCTGTGCTCATGTGGTCCTGAACCACCTTATTCCCCAGGCAGTCTGAGATGATCCTGACCCATTCACTGATGTACCTGTCATGCATTAACAGGGTACTGCTGTTATGATCAACACTTTCAGCAGTAACCATGAATTTGACAGTCGTGACTTGGGCTATCTAGGGAGCCTGGGTTTTGGTGGGATGAGTATGTGGGTTGGGGAACATTGGTACCCACTGATAATATGCAAGGAGTACCTCTGAGAATCAGAAAGCATTTCCTACCAAGAAAATTCAGAATCAGTTCAAAATTAATGGGTATTTATCAAAATACTAGCTCCAGAGTGGGATAGGTAGACAAGATACCCTCCACACAATACCTATAATACAAATAGGCTTAAAACAGGTAGGGAAAGAGATGAAATGAGATGTAATACGTTCAGAATTTTTTTATTAGTAGTTATTCATTTTTAGCTACACTTTTATCTAAAGGTTCCCTGCTGTTTCTATTGGATTCTGCCTTGCTTCTGTCTTTCACTGTGGGCCACTGTTGTTACACACAATTAAACACATTTCCTGCTTGTGCTCCTGAGACTGTGGCAGCTGTACTTCAATAGAGGGTGAGGACAGACCAGATGGATAGAAGGTGAAAAGCTGTCAGTCCTTTGGGATGGAAGATGCCACAGAAATGCAAACAGAACCTATAGTTTATAGGACAAATAATGTCCTGACAGTCTGATGAAAGACTAACTCAGAAACACCCTAGTCCTTCCAAAATTAAGATCTGGGAAGACTGATATGTATGCACTGTCAGACACTTCATCATTTTTATCCTTCTATAGCTTTGTGTGTTTGTGTGTAAGAAACCATACCAATATAATCTGAATGAGCAAAGTCACCTTCCTTGGAGCTCAGTTTCATTTTGACCAAGCAATAGAAATGAAAATGAAAATTCCACTTTAAAAACATTAAAAAAAAAATCCTCTCTAAGGTGAAAAAAAAGTTTTCAACAGCCCCACAAGGAAAACTCTTTAAAACTATCACTTACATCCTTAAAAATGAAGCCCTGCAAGTTAGGCTGCTCAAAACCTTATGGGGGTTCTCCATATCTTTTTCTCAAAGACTAATAGAAACTGCAGCATCTCAAAAATAAAACAAATACATAGCAAGGGAATATTTGAGAAGAGAGGGAGAGAGGGGTAAGAGCTGAAGTCAAGTTAATTTGGGAGGCACTTTAAGAGAAACATACTGGAAGCATGTGAAGGCTGTTACAGCAGTTCTTCTGGGACTGCCAGTTCTGTGCATTAGTAAGTAATGAAAGAAGGTGCTGATGTGTTGATCAACATCTAAATCCGTAATATTTTTGGGAAAGCATTGCTATCACCTGTATCTTTTAGTTCTTTCTTTGTATACTGTATCTTTTTCACATGCATGCATTTATATTTCATACAGGCCAGATGCTGCACTTCCAAAGCAGTGCTAAGTCCCAGGACATCAGTGAAACTTTCAACCTACACTACAAAGCAGGGTATGATCCTGTTTTCTTGTGTTAATCTTTATAATCATCTTTTCCTGACCAAATTAACCACCTGCAGCAGGGTGTGAACACCCCAGTCCCAGCAGTAAGCAGAGCTGCACCTGCCTCGCTCAAGCTGTGACAAAACCAATGAGCAGAGTGAACTCCCCTCATGAGTTCACATCCCTGCCCTTTGTGAATAGACTGCAGCAAAGATTTCCAGTCAGCCAGCTTGACGGTCTTCTACTAATTGACTATGAAATAATACAGATAAAGGGCGGTTGGACTAGGAATGACCAATTCAAGCATGGCAAATATTGGCTGAAACGGTGTTTCAGATTTTCAGGGTTTGCATATATTTTTCCACAAACACTTGATACATATTCAGCATTTGAATTCTCAACATCCCCACATAATTTACAGACACACCATCCAGTTACAGCAGCAAAAGAAGCTTGTTGCCTCAGCTGCATTATAGACAGAGAAATTAAAATTTTGTCCCTGCAGAAAACCATACAAAGAAATCTGAGTTTCCACAGGTACTAGTTTTTACCCAGTTTTGGAGAGGTAAAAGGAACGAATCCTGTGTTACTGAGGTCAGTGTCCTGAAATCTGCAGGGACAGAGAATGAATGAAGATGGAGGAAACCAAGTCACTTAGTGCTACAAGGTGCCCTGGGGCCACAGAGTCCTGGCCCAGCTCTGCCCTGCCATGCACAGTTGAGGCAAAAGCCTTTTCAGGTGGGCATTGCAAGAACTTGCCCTTTCCACAGAAAAGGGGGTTTTCCTGCAAAATGCTACCTGGGCATCTGGCCTCCCTTGTCAAGATCCCCCATACGGAATAATCACAAAAATGGGATGAGATATGAGGAAAACCATAGGAAAGTCTCATCCATCTTTCCCTTTCATATTAGATGTTGTGATGTGAAAAATTATGATAGAGGAATGCATTATTCCATCAGGAGTATCTCAGGGGAGAAATTAGAGGAGAAAATAGCTGAACTTAAGAAAATCTGCCAGTCACGAAATGGCTACTTGCAGGGTAAACAGCTGCTTTTTGCCAAATGCAAAAGCATTATCATATACTATAAAAGACCAAGCACACGGCAAAGTCGTATTGTAAACATCACAGGACTTGATATTTAAAACAGGATCTTCATTTGTGTATTTCTGGCAAATACCATATATCACGCATATTTTTCAGTCAGCGAGACACAGAACACAATAAAAAAATCTGAAACAGCATTTTGTGCTTGGAACTGTACATAGGCAGCAGACTTTGGTGCATATGTGGGTGACTGAGTCTTTTATTGGGATGCCACAAACACAAGGATCTGTAAAGCCAGAGCCTTTTATTTCTACCTTCTCGGTGCTGCTGGGAACACTTTGACACAGTTGCCAACCCAAACAAGCCCAAGAGTGTTTGCATATTTTCTTCTCTTGGTGCACTTTGCCTCACTTTCTATGACTTTCATTACATTCTCAAGCTGTTTTCTCCATTTTCGCAAAATTAAATAGCAAGTTTCGTTGCAATATCCCAAATACGTTTTGTGACAACTCTCAAAACCTTACTCATATGAGAGAGTTCACATTATTTGTTTAAACCTTAATCTGCCTCTATTATTTGTGCCAGGCCGAAACAGCTGCCATTTCTATAAACTCCCCCTAATACCAGCCCCTGCTGACTGGTCCAGCAGCACACCACGATGAGTAATGGGCTCTCTGCACTGACTTGGCTCTGTTTTTCTCCCTTTCCTTCTCTCTGAGGGCAAGACATGCACCATGCGAGGGGTCAGGACCACCAGTGCCTAAAAATCTGTGGCAGCAGGCATTCAGTAGCTTTGGCCTGGGATATTAAATGATCATTTACAGTGCTGAGGTGAGGGGTCAGTCTATACTGTGAGGCTGTCTCAAATCTGCTCATGAAGGCATTTTCCACCAGGAGAGTGAGGCCTGTCTGTGCAAGACAGAGATTGCAATGAACTCCCCCAACAACTGAAAAACCATCCCTCACCTTGGCATCTACCTTCAGGTCATGATTTGGTATGCCCTGTTTTTCAGGGCTATATTTCCTGAGGGACTTCAGCCCAGTTCAGGATTCCCCAGGTGCGGCACCAGCTGTGTGAAAGTGGTAGATGAAGAAATGTGGGGAGGGTTGTAAAGGAACTTGTCTTTCTCTTTTCTCTTTACTTTTCATCTTTCCACAAAGCTATCAGTTCTGGAAATCTATCAGTAAACTGGTGTTTTCAATGACTACTCTGCCACTAAAGGTATAGCTTTCTCCTTTAAATTTTTACTTAAACGATTTGGTTATTTGGTGGAAAGAAGAAAAAGACAGCAAGAAGAACAAATTCTTTACATTATAAACTTGTAATATTTCTCCACTATGGACTATATCTTTTGCTGGCTGTTTTTGAGTATCTTGTATGGAGGACTAAGAAGGAGAAGAGAGGAGACATTTCCTATTTGGTAAGGCAACAGCCATATTCCCTCTTTCTGCTGCAATATCTTTTCTTCATCCTATTTTTCTTCTTTCTAGCAGATGTTTGCAAGCTGTTGAATAAAACACAGATTGCATGTATACACGTTTCTGTCTGTTATGGCAGATGACAGCCCCAGAAGGAGATGAGATACAAAGTCCCACCTAGGTTTTGGGGAGTCAGTGGTGCCTGCAGTGAGTGCTTGCACACATCAGCCACCAAGGACAGGATTTTCAACAGTGCTCACAGTAGACTGTCTAGGCTTCACAGCACAAATACTACTTGTTGACTTTGAGTTACTTATATATTATGTGAGCATATGCCACCATTTCCCTCATTTCTGAAATGCCA